CAAGGTACAGAAGATCAACCTCGGGATTAGGCTCTGTTCCATGAAATCCTAGGGCTCCACAAGAACTTAATGGATTTCTGTGAGGGACTAAAAAAAAACCTAAGTGAAACACAGCCAATTTTCTGTCATTAGAGGTTTGCCTCTTGATCAGGGGCTCCTGGCTTTTCTTTTTAACTAGTGGTGTGAAAAAGATCTAATACTCCTGGGTCCAGATGACTAAACATTAGTGACACAGCAATAAGGCTATTTTCCCCTGAAAAATTAGGCTTTTGAAATTTAGCTAATTTCTGTGGGAAAAAATGTCAATTGTGTAAAAGCCCTATTTCTGGTAATAAAAATAAATTCCTGCCCAATGTATTTCCTCAGAAGCATCCTATTCCATATTTCATAGAGAGTAAGGTGGTGCAATGGCAAGAGAGAAGCCCAAGCCAGTCACAGAAGTTCACTGTAACTTTAGGCTATTTGCCCCTTTTCAAGCCTGCCTGCCTCACAAGGTGTTGTGAGGAAAAAAAATGGGAGGATAGAGTGTTATGTATACTACATGGAAGTCCTGAACAAAAGGCACAATATAAATCTAACAAAAAAAATAATCTATCAGAGACTTTCAATTGCAAATTTGAAGGCAAAGATTATTCTGTGAGTTAATACTAAACAAAGAGGATATACAAGTTTATATATCTGAAACTAATATTTTGAAATGAGGAAAAAATGCGATTGAACCAGCTATTGTGGGCTTCTACTAACTCATTTGGTCCAGATTTTATCTCTGCAACTCTATCATCTTCCACGGTTTGGATAATATTTGAACCCAACAATTGGCCTATGGAATCCTTAACTGAGAGACTAAGATCCAGCCTAAACCTCAGCACTGGTCAGATGCTAGTGAATTCACATTCAAAATTTGGCATTGCACTTATAAATATCATTCATTTATAAAGAAGAAATTGGGCTCAATATATCAGAAAACTTTTATTATCTAGGTCAGGGCTTTTCAACCGGTAGTATGCATACCACCTGTGGTACTTTGCCACATGGCAGATGTATGCAACCATTCTAGAGAAGTGTAGCAGGGGAGGAGAATGAGCCAAAGCGACCCAAGTCTGAGGGAGAGGCAGCTGCAGCTACAGGACTGTCTGGCCTTGGCAGAAGCCCCAAGAGCCAGCAGGGCTCCAGCTGATTGGCTCCAGCTGATTGACGCTTCCTGAAGCAGTTCTGAGCTGTAGGTGAACTGAAGAAAAAGGGGGGAGAGGAGAGGCTTTAAAAGAAGGTGGTTTGGGCAGGAAAGGGGAAAAAAAGAAAGAAGCAACCTAGAACTAAGGAGAAACTTCCTGACAGAACAATTAACCAGTGGAACAACCTGCCTCCAGAAGCGGTGAATGCTCCAACACTGGAAGTTTTTAAGAAGAGATTGGACAGCCATTTGTCTGAAATGGTATAGAGTTTCCTGCCTGAGCAAAGGGTTGGACTGGATGACCTCCAAGATCCCTTCCAACTTTTTTATTATTATTATTATTATTATTATTATTATTATTATTATTATTATTATTATATTATTATTATAAAAGACAACAGGGAAAGGTTTAATCCCTTTAAACAAATGTAATTAGTTTTATCCCCTTTAACTGAGTCTATGACTTTTAGAAAGTTATCTTTGAAGGTAAACAGGCTTAATTTAAAGCTAAAGCTTTTTGCAATTGCCGGAGACTTTCAGTCTTGATTTGCAACATTGTGACACCTTGACACACCCTGAGGCAGCTTAAAGAACCCCCCCCCCCAGTTAATGTATTTCTTTATTTTGTGAGCCTTTCTTGCTTTGCACTTGATTCCTGTGTCTTTAAGGGTACAGGGAAGGAGTTGCGGGAGGGGTGCATTCTTACTACATTGTGCAAAGAGTTCAGAAGGGAGAGAGGAAGAAGGGCCGACCAGCTAGCTCAGGGGTCTACAAACTTAGCAACTTTAAGACCTGTGGACTTCAACTTCCAGAATTCCTCAATCAGCCATGATGGCTGAGGAATACTGAGAGTTGGTCCACAAATCTTAAAAGTGCCAAGTTTGAAGATCCCTGAGCTACCTGGTAGTGGTGCATATTAATAAACATGAATAAATTTATCATACATTTGTCAGTGTAAAAGGAAAGTGATTCAGCAAAGGAACACCACTGAAGAAATTAAAACTGGTACTTTTTTCCTTTTTTTCTACAGTTTGTAATATTTTATTATATTATAGAATAAAATACAAAAATACAAAAGCAAATACTAAGACACAGTGGGGAAGAAAAAGGGGGAAAATGTGAGGGGCAGAAGGGAAAAAGAGCAGACTTCCTCTGTTGCAGGTAATCATTGGTTAATGACCACTCGTTCAGCCACTATTCAAGGTAACAATAGCACTGAATGAGTGGTCCTTACAACCAATCCTCAAAGTTGCAGCACAAGCAAAGTCAATAAGGAAGACAGTAGGAAAGATTGCAAGTCACTGATAAGCCACTCAAACCATGCAGCAGTCACCCCCAGCCCTGCCACATTTACACCAGCCACTTATGTACCCTCCTAAACCCTGTAGCAGCCACCCCACTACACTTGCACCACACGAACAACCCATGCACCTCCACGTACCATCCCCCACCACTTACTGCTGATTAGCCTATTTGCAAACTGCCTGGGGCATGCAACTTCCTGCTGGCCTCCCCACTGATTTTGATGACCAGGAATTAGGGGACAGTATTAATTGTGAATACATATAGATGGTTTCTCTCTCTTTGGTCACTTGTAATCCTGGATTCAGGGTTAGGAAAGGATAGCAAGGACAACACCCAATGTCCTAACCCACCCAAGAACATATGATATCTTTAAGTAACACTCAAATGAGAACATGTTTAGCTAATTCTGCTTTCTCCCTTCTTATTTACATTATGTCAGACTTACTGGGTACAATCTTTATCTTATGTGTGTCAGCTTTGCTGGATGGGTTGCTTATGTAAGTATACAGAATAAATACAAGGATTTCTTGTCATTTGTTACTCCCCTCATTTAGAGGAGTCCGTCTCTATTCAGGTGAATAAACACGTAAAACTTAAAAGGCACTTTCTGGTTTCCTGTATTTCTTTAACCAGCAAAACCTCAGAACCTGCATATCAATTTTGCTTATTGGAAGCTGGCAAGAAATTGCACAGAAGTCCTCACTTAAAGACCTGTGAGCTTCACTTAAAGACATCAACAGAAACTTCTGGATTATCATCACTAAGTGATGTAGTCCTGTGATGTACTTTATAACCGTATCGCATGGGGACAGAAATTCCAGTGCCAATTTCCTTTGTTAATTGAGAACAACTTGTACTGTTAACAACCTCTGATTTTCTTAAACAAATTTCCTTTTTATTAATAAAATTTGCTTCACTAATCGTTGGTCAGGTCTGATTTTCATTCCTGGAATCAATTTCTCCAAAGGTACATAGTACAACTTCATCTTAAACGGGGAGACCCAACAGAAAAAGGAAGTTGCCAAGATGTGTTAGAAACAAATGGGAAAGATCCTAAGACAATTTTATATCCAGTTGGACACTGATTTTTTTTCTCAATTTGATCTGTTCCCAGTAATTTCCTTTGTATATGGAAACTCTCATACGTTGCAAGGCTACCATTCTTTGCTATGGTTTTGGAAAATAAGTTAATACTATTTTCAAAATGTATTTGAATGACTGACTCATTTGAAAATAGCTCACAGAGCTGCTATTCATTTGTTGCCAAGAGGTCATAAATCTTGCCTCTAAAGTTGTGTTCATGTTATAAAAACATTATATTTCTTCTTCTCCTGAGGAAATGCAATACAACACGCCCACACACATACTTAGTTTGTGAAAAGTATTATGTTGATACAAGAGATAAAGATTCTTAGCAAAAATCAATGCTTCTGAAAGTTAGCACTCTTCCTTTGTGTAAATCAATCAGAGGAACAACAGCTTCATCTCAGATAACACTCATAATAGGTGTTCCTCCATTTAATTCTTTGAAAGCATCAACTGCATACTAATCAAGCCATATTTCTTAAAAGAGATATTATTGCAAAAGATCTGCTCTCACTGAAATGAATGGGGGAAGGGGGGAAGGAAGGGGGGAAGGAAGTTTATAAAGCCACTTCTACCATTAGCCATTTATTATATATGGATAGCAACACTGCACAATAGAGTAAAAACTATGTTCATACATCTCTACTTAACTACATGTCCATCTTTATTCTTGAGTTGTTCTAAGCATACTCAGATTGGGTGGGGGGGATTTTCATTAGGATGAAAACTAAACCATTGGCATGCTGCCCTGACCTCATGGGATTGGTAACCACTCTATGTAAATTATTTGAAAGGGGACTTGTAGAAAGATCATGCAAAAGCATATTCTAACTTTATTTCACAGGCAGGTACTATATTAATAGGAATGATTCCTTATGCAACAAAGTCAAGGAAGAAGGTGAAGATAATGTATAGCTTTCTCTTCCTTTGGAATTCAAGACCTAATATGTATAAACTGCTAGTAACTCAGCAAATAACTATATTTATAATCCCATATAGATTACACCCCCATACCTTAGAGCAGTGTTTCCCAAACTTGACAATTTTAAGGCATGAGGACTTCAACTCCCAGAATTCCATAGCCAGCAACGCTGGCTGTGGAATTCTGGGAGTTGAAGTCCACATGCCTTAAAATTGTCAAGTTTGGGAAACACTGCCTTAGAGCATTTGTGAACATTTTTTAACTCAAATTGCTATGCACAGTTATTTCAACAAGACCCCATCTAACTGCCATCTTTGTCTGCCATCCTAAGCATGAATAATACATTTGGAATACGGTAAGAATTGAATAAACATGCTTAGGACTGTAATCATATAAGCTAATTACTGACACAAAGAAATTTTGAATCATGTTGGATAGTGAGATAGGTGACATGGAAATTTTAATAAATAAAATAAATAAATCTCATTGCATTCCAAGTCAAGGCAACCACCTCACCTCTCTGAAAGACTGCTTCTCCTTGTAATATGGATTTATTTGCCAAGAGTACTTGCGCTTGTATTCTAATGCTTGAAGGGTTTTCCTTTAAGAGCCAAACTCCAATAGTTAGATTTGCTCCAGGCCGGATTATTTTAGGAACTGCCAACAGGTATGTTGGTCTAGAAATCACAAAAAGAAATAAAAGTCTTGATACTTACTGACAGTTGTTATTAAAATATGTAATATTAGAATTTGCTATTGCTATCTATATGAACTAGAACAACTTTGAAAGAGCTAAGGCAACTCTGCAACAATTGCGTCTTTCTCTCATCAGCTATGCCATTTTTAATTAAGAGTTTCTTGAGGGGGGGGGTGAGCAAAATGAAAACAGAGGAGGATTGTACTATATATGGGAGGGAACTTGTTTGTATCCTTATACAATGCTGGATTAGGAAATGATTAAAACTTAAGCAACCGAAACCCCTCTGAGATATACTGAGCTAACGATATAGAAGCATAAGGAAGGAAGTTTTTCTCCAATAAGTACAAGAAAAATAATGTCTCCATAAGGATCTTTCCCCAGGCTTCTGGCCCAATATGCATTCATACCTGCATCATCTGCATCCAGAAAATTAAGCAGTTGTTTGGGCAACTTTAATTCAGTGCCTAAAGCTCTGCATTTTGGTCCAAATTAGCAAAATGCAAATTTAGGCCTCCCGTGGAGAACACAATACCCCCAAAAGATGCTTTCCCCAATTTTCTCTCCTCCCTCCGTGATTCCCCTTCTCAGTCCTTTCTTGTCTGCTAACCCTCCCTGCGCTCCCATTTTTATTTTATTTTTTCCTACCCAGCGTTAACAAGCGAGAAAGCAATCACGAAGCCCCAAATGAGAGGGAGGATGGGGAACAGCCAAGAGCTCCTCCGGGTAGCGGGAACAACTTCCAGTAAGAGCCGCATCTTCCTTCTGGGGAACCGGGCAGCCGAGCTGGAGACAACGGTGCTCCGCTGCACTCGCGGCGCTTCCTTGCCTTTTCGGGCTAATCGCGCTAATTCGGGAAGTGAAAGCAGCTCCTTGTGTCGAAACAGGGGTAGCGCCTTCTCCAAAGGCACAGCTCTCCTCCTCCGCCCCTCCTATTCCACTCGGAGGCTCCTGCCGAAATGAGGACAGGCCTTTATGCCCACGAGCCTTTCTCACCCTCCAAATGGAAAGGCCGGGGAGAGGGAGCTGGAGAGAAGGTAGGGCCGGCGGGGTTTTGTATTGTGCCTTTCTGCTCCACGAAGCCTGCTCTCTCGCTCCGGAGATTTGGCAAAACAGAAAGAAGTCGTAAGTTTTCAAGAGGTCCAGGGCAAGCCCAGCAGTTTAGGGAGAAAGATGCTGGATTCCTAGTAGGAGCAGTCTGATGGGTTGAATCAGAGATGAAAATACAGACTCCAGCAGAGGAATGTTCCCGCTTAGTTGGTTTGCAACAGGCTGCGACCTGCCTTGCTGAAGTTAGTAACTAGTCTTCAGTTTATTTGGAATATGGATCTAAGTGAATATGATCCGAGACATAAAGCTGACAGCCTAAGCTTAGCTCCTTGCCAGAAAGCTTGAGGGAGATAATTTATCAATTAGATTTTAAAACTCAGCTCCAGTTCTTTATGCTTTATTACCTTATTATTACAGTTCGTTGCACAATCAGCCAGATGTTTAAACTGAATTTTTATACATGGATTGAGTTCTTCCCAAGGATTTGGGATAGGAGATGTTTAATGATATGTAAAGGCATTGTTGCAGGATGTAAGACATCAGCATTGATCTACTAGCCTCCATTCTGTTATTTCTAATTCTGAATGTACTTTCCAGAACTGGTGTATTTTTTCTAGATATCCTCTTCTTATTGGACTGGATTTATAATAAAATATCATTTTTTATTTCAATCTTCCTATATTTGTGTAGGCAACTTTTTTTCCAGTAGTCCTGCAATTGGGGTCTGGAGTATTATGTGGCAAGTGCTCCTCTGTTTGAATACTATTTATCTGTCAAGTTTTGCAATATGTTATGGTGGATGCCAGTCAATGAAGGCGCTATCTAAAACATGGAGGGAATATGACTGAAGGTAGGTCACAGTTTCCTGTGGAATGGATAGCAAGATATTCATATACAATGGTGCTTATATGAAATGTCATAATTTTTTTCTGGACAGGTTTATTATTTTAGATGGCCCACAACTTATTTTTGGACTGCAACAGAATTAGTTTCTAATTGATTTGGCTTGTGGGAAATCATTCATTAATATGTCCATATTGATGAAGAGAATATTTTCTTACTTTGTGAAAGTGAGTTGTCCTAGGCCAGGGTTACTTTGCAGGAACCAATACTGTAGATAAGCTGCTTGGAACTTCTGCATCTGAACAGCATTTGGAAGTTGACATAAACTATACTGCCGTGATCATTTCAGACATCCCAATTCCAACATATACAGTATGTTTTGCTTAGCTATTTAAAAAAATGTATTGGACTAATTATTATTTTTTTAAAAAAAGAGCAAAGAAAAAAAAACATGCACCTAGCCTCAAATTCCATGGTCCTTATTGAGGCTGTTCAACTGCATTCTTTAGGTGTTTTTTTAAGAGCCCCAGGAGAGTGGATGGCACATTCATCTTTGGGAGAAATGCTATTACAGAAGGGAGGGGCAGCAACAGAGTAGGCGTACTTCCTTGATCCCTTGCAATGACAATGTTTAATTGAATGGATCTGGAACAATTGGGATAGATAGATGGTCCTTCAGATAACCAAGCCCTGTGCCTTGAAAGGCTTTAAAGGTGATAATCAGCACCTGGAATTGCACCCAGAAGCTGGCTAGCTACAAATACAGTTCACATAACAACAATGATATGTGATGTAATGACAAGGGCCCACTTCATCCCCTGTAAAGGTTTGCCATCGGCTCGAAGGCTAACCCGGCTGTTCCTGATGCACATCTATCGCTTACATGGGGCGCCCTGGCAGATCATCATGGATCGGGAGGTTCAATTCACAGCTCGCTTTTGGCACGAGTTCGTTCATTTCATCTGATTGTCCGAAGGGCTCAGTTCGGCATACCACCTTAGTACCAATGGGGCTGCAGAATGGGCGAATGCAGAGGTGGAGCGGTATCTACGGCGCTATGTGTCCCACCAACAAACAGACTGGGTGGATCTGGTGGTGTTCGCAGAGGTCACTTACAACAATGCAGTGCATAGCAGCACCTTTCAGGTGGTGCAGGGCAGGGACTTTGTCCCCATACCGGAGTACAGCCAAGAGAGTCCCATACCGTGCCAACCCAGTGAGTGGATGGCACAGTGAAGGAAGTATGGGGGGTAGTCAAGGAAGCCTTAGCGAAAGGAAGGGATACTGCTGAGGTACAGGCTGATAAGAAATGAAGGGCCCAGAAACCGTTCCAGGTAGGCGATCTGGTCTATTATCCACAAAGTATATACAGCTACAATTTCCATGTAAGAAACTAGCACCAAAGTACCTTGGGCCTTTTCAGGTCACCCAGGTAATCAACCTGGTGGCCGTGCGTCTACACTTACCTAGGTTTCAGGGTAAAATACACTTAGTGTTCCACAGCAGCCTATTAAAACCGGTGGAGGGATCGTCCTGTACACACCTAGATAGGAAACCGGGATCCGTAGAAAATGACCGGTATGAAGTCAAGGAACTCCTGGATTCCCACCTCAGACGGGGTGGCCTGTACTACCTAATCCACTAGAAAGGGTACCCCCTTTCAGAGGCGTCATGGATGAAGGAGGCTGACATCCATACCCCCTGTTTAATTAAGAAGTTCCATCAGCAATACCCCAGGAAGCCGGGCAGGCTGTCGGTGAGGTTGGGCACAGGGCACACGAACAATTAGGTTAAGTCTTTCAGATGGAATCCTGGTAGAGGGGGCCGCCTGTCGAGCCCCGTGGAGCCAACATATACGGGTGGCTGGGACGCTAGCTACTGTGCCGTCGATGCCCCGCAGACCATCACTGAATGCCCCGTGGGGTCGACACATGCCAGCAGGGGGCCCCCCGACTGCCTTGCTGCTTCTGTTCCCACCGAGCCTTCTCTCAGCTGATGAGTGCAGGCCAGAATGACATGGGCCCGACGGACGCCGGGGTTTTGGCGCCGCGCTGTGGAGCACTCTTGGCCGAGAGGGGGGAACTTTGCCAACTGCCAGCTGCACAGGGACGTGAGCACAGCTGTCTCTAGCTGCCTGAGGCTCATGGACTCGTAGCGGGCAACACCCACGGACCAGTGTCTTGCCAGTCCAACAGAAGAACCCTGGTGCAGCAACTCATACTTATGGACCAATGCCTTGCTGGTCCAGACAGCCAAGCGGCCAGAGCATACAAGGGGAAGGAGAGTGCGACAGGAGATGGCAGCGGAGAGGAAGGGAGCTCACCTTGCTATGGTTCCTGGAACGCCGTAGAAGGACTGGAAGCCACGCCGGCCAAAATGGGGGGGGGTGACACCCCTGCTAATTGCTAATTGGAAATGCGGCGGCAGCACATTTCCGCACTCCAACGGTGGCCCATTTTCATGCCGAGACACAGCAGCAGCCCGTTTTCACACCCCATGGCCATGCACTAGCACAAGTGAGGGAGTGTGCACACACGCGCACACTGGCCAGCCTGTCCCATGGCCAGGAGGTCAGGGCCCACTATGGGCTGCGGCCCAAAGATTGGGGACCCCTGGTTTAGATAACATGTTGGGCCATCAGTTCCCATTCCTCCACTAAGGATTTTAAAAATACAACATCTTGTATTGCACCTGAAACATTTTTTCCAATTTCTTTATTACATAAAAGGTATAGGTAAAGGTTTCACCTGTCCAATTGTGTCCAGCTCTAGAGGGCAGTGCTCATGTTCATTTCTTAGCCGAGAGAGCCAGCTTTGTCTGAAGACACTTCTGTGCTTATATTGCCAGCACGACTATATGTCCAGGCTCATAGAACGCTGTTACCTTCCCAAAGCGGTACCTATCTATCTATTCACATATGCATGCTTTCGAACTGTTAGGGTATTTAACCACTGAGCCATCATGCACGCACACACCCCAATTTATTATATATACATCCATAATAATTTTAGTATTATTAACTAAACAATTACATTCCCTACCAATGATGCTTTCAGGTTTTCACCAGTTATATCACTATTAACTATCCCAACATGTGTCAGATATTCTTCTGTCTTTCTACATTCTTTAGAAAAATAATTTCACTTCATATATATCCGCAACTGTTTTACTAACTTTGCTTAAATTAAATAAAAACAATAATTGTTAACAATAGAATAATTGCACAGTGGAAATGGTTTTATCTCCTTATTTTATCAATTCCTCTTTATGTTTATCATTCTTTGCTTTTCTTCAGTTAAAAAAAAGGGATTGTCAAAAGCACTTAATAAACTCTAACATAATGGAAGGATTTGAACTTATCTTTCTACACCAACACTCTGTCACACTGTCCCGACTGCCTAGTAAATAATTAGAAATATTCCATGTGATCTTCTGTCTGGAAAGATAAGGCCTTTGTGCACTTCAACAGAACAGGACATTTTATAATATTTAGTAGTACAGGAATTAATTTGTATTTTGGCAGAACTATATTTCTGCAAAAGACAATGGAAAAAGATGAAAAGTCTTCCTCTACGGTAGTTAGCTGCCTTGATATTTTATCTCAGAAGGGTATCCTCTAATTTTAACAATTTAACTTCTCTGCCTCATTGTCAGCATTTCAGTAAAGGATCAGACATGGCACTATGCTGTTTCTTTTGTAAATCTATATATTATTGCTTCTTTTACTGCTCTGTTTTTGACGAATGCAGCAATTGAAAGAAGCCAGTGCAAGGATAGCGATTTATCTCATTTAATCTTGTCTTTTGATTTTTGATTGGAATCCACTCCACTGATTAAAAAATTGACAGCTATATGTTTTAAATAAATCTCTTTTCTAAACAAAAAGTGATAATGCAAAAATGACATTTGTGAAAAAATATGCATTTGCTATTTATTCTAGCAAATGTTTATTATCATCTAGAATAGAATAAACTTTTTATGATTATAATTTCTGCACCATATGTCTTTTATAAATGTTAGAAATAGGATATTATATATATATAGGATAGCTATCTGTAGGATATCCTATTTCATACACAAGCTTTAAAGAACCATCCGGGTTGCCTTTGGACTACACAGACTCCAGTAAAATACAGTGTATCCAAGTCCATCACAGGGTCTTCTATTTTATAAAAAAAAAATATCTTTTTTCAATAAGTATTTAATTTCTAGCAATCAGGGACAGGTGCCGCCACCTGCTGGAACTATGGGCCAATTCCCTCTCTGTCTGACTTTTCATTTCTACTTCTGCTCCATGAATGCTCATGCAAACACATATATTAGCATTGCAGGTATGGACACTCTTCGCTGTTTCCACGGCCGATTGCGGGATCCGCAAATCCCGCCCCTCACCTTTCCTTTGATCAAGCAGAAGACGGAATGCCAGTACTAAAGATGGCCGAATACAGGAAGTGGGCAGGAAGAAAAGCCGGCCGGTGGGGCTGAATCCTGAGACGAGTCATATTTCTGCCCGCTTGGAGGTCACGTGCTAGAGATCACGTGCCGGCTCCTGGGACTTTGTTTTTCTAGCCCGGGAGACGAGGGGGACCAGCCAGTGGGGTTCTCTGGAATCCGGAGCAAGGCGATATGCAGACTCCGAAGCCAGAAGAGGCAGAAGACGAGGAGGACCGTGCTCCGCTTTTACTGTCCGACTCTCAACCCGGCGCCAAAGAGGGTAAGAATTACCCCTGAAGGAGTCTCTT